GTTCATCCAATGGCTTTTAGGGATTTCTTGTATTTCAAAAATGTTTTTGATTGATTGAATCTGATGTGTTCTTACCTGGTTCATTATCAGAGTAGCATTTTCTCACTTATTTTGAATGGGGTGGGTTAATGGGTGGACTGACTCAAACACTCTCACTCTTATATTCTCTCCTCCAGTTTTATTATTTGCTATCCTCAGCAAATATACTGGGGTATGTTTGGTAGAATCTAGAGTCCAAAAACCTTGGTAGCTCTCTAGTAACTTGGGGATATTCTGCATTATTCTTTTTGAATGCCTTCCTTAATGTTTTGTACTAAAGAATCTGTGTGGCATTGTTCATAATCAAATCTGGTAATTAACAATATTTCACACTTCCAAATACAAGGCTAGACAATTTAACTGATAAATATAATTTTACAAAGTTCTGATAGGTTACTGTTTGTCTTGTTGCTTGGGCGAAGGTCTTTTTCTACCCTAAAACAGTAAAGAAAAGGAAAAGGAAATCAAGCCTCCCATCTTGGATGGAAAGTTTTGTGCTAGAAGAACACCAAAACTGGGTCCAGGACTGAGGTACTTCACCCCCATCCCCTGACTGGATTTAATCATTAGCCAACTTAAAAAGGGTGGGGATAATAGTTTCAGAGCATGTGGCACCTGTGGGGGCCTCGGGGTAAGTACTGGGCGCTTCAACTTCACAGTGACCCATTGGAGAGGCTCTCTAGCTTTGTTATTGGATACACTTATTTTGTTTTAGATTGAAATTATATAGTAGTCAGTGTTCCTCTGTTTTCTACCATATGTCAGGCCAATTCTTTGCCATAACTTGTGTTTATTTGAATGCTTAAGTACTAATATCTATTGTATTAGTAAACCTTGCAATTAAGAAAAGTATGGATTTTGGACCGCTAAAACATTGATTCTGGTATAATTTCATTGTTTGTACTAAAGTGAATTTTGAATTATTTGAACTTGCATTAATTATCACCTACCTGTATCTTTAAAAAAATTATATTTGCTAAAAACTTATCAGTTGTATAGGGATTTAAAAATAACTTTTAACTATCAATTTAATTATAAGAGTGGATTCTTTTGCTTTCAGTTTTGCTGTTTTCTCTTTTAATTTTGACAGTTTCTTATTTGAAATGTTTAGCATAAGTTAAATTGTCAAATAAAAATTCAACAAATTAATAAAAATAAAAAGAATTAACTACAAACTACTCAATTACCTCTTTTTTCTTTTTCCTTTTTGGTGTGGCAATTGGGGTTAAGTGACTTGCCTAGGGTCACACAATTAGCAAGTGTCAAATGTCTGAGGTCGGATTTCAATTCAGGTCCTCGGGACTCCAAGACCAGAGGTCTATCTACTGTGCCATCTCTTTTTTCTTGTAAAATGTTTTTAGGAGAAGGGAAGGGGAATAAAAGTATTTATAAAGCACATATTATGTGCCAGGCACTGTGCAAAGCAATTTTTAAAAAACCAAATATCTCATTTGATCCTTTCAGCAAACCTTATGAGGTAGATGCTATTATTATCTCCATTTTACAGTTGAGGGAAACTGAGGCATGCCTGTGACCCTTGTCAAAGAGTATCTGAATCTAGATTTGAACTCAGGTGTTCCTGACTCTAGGCCCAGCACTCTGTCTATTATATCACAATATGTTTACATCTGAGAACTTCTTTAGCTGTTTCAGAAATGTTGCTCTACTCTAACTCCTTTCTGACTTTTAGTCTTCTTACACTTTACTCTCTTTCATGTTCTCAGTGATCCAGGAACACTGGCCTCCATGTTGATCCATAACACTCCATCTCCAGACTACCTGCATTTTTGCTGTCACCAGCAAAATGTGTAGAATGCTCTCCCTCCTCATCTCTATCTCCTGGCTTCCTTGAAGAATATTTTTTTCAAGTATTCTAAGGGTTCTAATGTGGAAGAGGCATTAGGCATGTGGCCCCAGAAGACAGAATCAAGAGGAATGAGCACAAGTTTCATGCAGGCAAATTTAGGCTTGTTGCAAGAAAATACTTCCTAAAAATGAAATCTCTCCAGAACTATATAATGAAGTGCTCTGCAAAACTCATCAGTTACAAGATAGCAACAAAACATTATAAGCTGGATTTTCCTACTCTTCGCACATTAAGAGAATCAGGGCTGGGTTGGAGTGAGGGGAGCATGGTAAACTTAGGGTCATGATACAGAGGAAATCCTGGGCCATTCATGCCAACAATTCTGGGCACAGTAATCAAATCAAATCAATAGTACTTTTGCTTCTGGAAAGGGCATATCAGTTGACTGCTGTATGGATCAATTCACCGTTTTTATCTCTCCTGACAAAAACTTCCTTCCCCCCACATGTACAAAAATATTTATAGCAGCTCTTTTTGTGGTGGCAGACTAGATGTTAAAAATCCCACCTTCTGTAAGAAACCTTTCTCAGTTCCCCCTTCATGCTTGTGCCTTTCCTCTGAGATTATCCCCAATTTACCCTGTATTCATGGCTTTTAAAAAACCCTATATATAGACAGTATAAAGTGGGAATATTGCTGTGGTATAGGAAATGATGGGTTGGTGCACTTGAAAAAATATGTTAAAGCCTTGGACTTATGGAGGAAGAGGTTAGCCACCCTCAGAGAAACAGAGGACAAATAAGTCTTATATAGATGCATATGAATGTATATGTCTATATATGACTATGACTATCAATATTTAAGTATATATGTATGTGTAAGTATATGTATGTATGAGTAAATGTGTGTATATGTATATATATACATGTGTGTATGTGTATGATTAGATGTACATATATGTATATATTTTGCAAATACTATATATGGGAGGAAGGGGGAGAAAGAACGAAGTAAAAAGTACACAGCAGAGAACAAAAGAAACTTACAAGGTTGTAAAGAAAAGATAGACAGCTCTCAACGCAATGCGTTGTATTTATTATATAGGCTTTCTTAAATAGAAATTATTGTATATTTTGAATCCTCTCTTACATTCTCCTGTGCACATGACAATGTTTTTTTCCTTAACTTGTATTATTTTAGTTTTAGCATTTGTTTCTTTTCTTCTTATTTAGTATTTAAGTTTAAAATTTTTAAAAATTTACAAAAAAATATTCAGTGACAGAAAATAAAAATCTGTATATATCCTGTGTATGTATAGTTGTTGGCATGTTGTCTCTTCCCTTAGAATGTGAGCTCCTAGAGGGCAGGGACTGGTTTTGCTCTTCCTTGTATACCCAGGGTTTAGCATAGTGCCTGATACAAAACAAGCACTTAATAAATGCTTATTGACTTACTGTTGCTATGCTTTAAGAAAATAATTTTGGCAACTTTGTGGAGTATAGAGTGATCAGCTGACCTCTGTGTGCTTTGGGCAACTCTTCAGACTCAAGGTAGGAAAACAAAATTGGAAGATATTGAAATAGTCTGATTGAGGGCTACTGAATGCCTGATGGTTATCTCAGTGGAAAGATGATAGATGAGATCTATGTTGTGGAGGTGGAAAAGATATGATTCAACTAATTGGTTACATAGGGACAGGGAGAATGAGGTGCTGAGAATGATTCTTCCTGAACTCCAGTCTCACATCACCAACTACCTATTGGATATCTTAAACTGGATGTTGTGTAAAGACACCTCAAACTCAACGTGTCTAAAACAGAAATCCTCTTTCCCACCAAATGTTTCTGTCCTCCCAAGTTCCCTGTTGCAGTTGGAGGCACCACCATCTTCCCAGTCATCCAGGTTCACAACCTTGGTGTCAACTCCTTTCTTGCACTTACCCATTTCAATCTCAGTAATTATTCAATATGTGACAAAGATTTCATCTACACAGAGCAAATAAGTTAGCTATAAAAGGCACCTAGAGGTAGCCGCAGCCTCGAATGTAAATCAAGCCACACTCAGGTAGGGTCAGATTCTTTAAAACAACAGCAGCAACAAAAGAAATAGGCTTCAATGATATTCTGTTAAACAAACAGGCCCTAGAAACCTTTATATGACTAGGTCCAGATTAGTGCAAATAATTAATCCTTCTGAAGTGATTGAATTAGTCTAATTTATACTGCATAGTTCCATTGGGCTTGAACCAATCACTATATTTTACTTATAATGTATACCCAGCAACGTGATGCTAGGATAGAGACTAAATCTTTTTAATGTGCACATTGCCTGGCACATGGTAGGTGCTTGGGCATGGAAACAAAATTAAGTAATTTTTATATTTATGAAAGAAATATTCTCCTTGCTTTTGCCACATGAAGAGAATAAAAAAAGATATCTGTGCAGGGACCTGAATAGAATTAAAAAGATTTCCTTTCTGGATATCTTCCTCTAATGCAGGGGTTCTTCATCTTTTTTGTGTCCTGAACCCTTCTGGCAGTCTGGTGAAGGCTATAGACCCTTTCTCAGAATAATGTTTTTAAATACTTGAAGGAAATGCTAAATTTCAGTTAGCGATTAATAAAAAATAAAGATGATTAGTTTCCCTATCCAAATTCATGGAACCTCTGAAATCATCCACAGACTCCTAAACCCCAGATTAAGGCCCCCTGCCCTAGTGATACTATTGCACCTTAAGGAATAACAACAGCTTCCAGAAGAAACAGGGAACATCTCTATGAATTGATGATGAGTAAAATGATTAAAACTTGGAAAACAATTCATATAATGACATAAATAAAAACAAGACTTCGGAAGTCTTTAGAATGCTGGTCAGTACAATAAGATTCCAGAGGACAAAAGATAAAGTATGCTAGGTGTCTCCTGCCAGAGAGGTAGACTTAAAATGTAGAATGATACATATCTTTTTGGACCTGGATAATGTAGGAAATTATTTTGACTATGTATATTTTTATGAAGTTTTCCTTTTCCTTTTTTTTTAATTACTCAATTGGAGAGGAGAAGGGGTATGAGAGAATAAATGCTTGTTAATTGTTAAAAAAAAAATAGAAGTGAAATGAGGAAAGCCCTGGAGATCATAGTTACCATACTGCCCCCTGGCGGTACTACACACAAACAGCATATTTTGAGAGCGAAATAGGAGAATAAATTCTGCACGACAAAAGCTGTAATTCAAAAACTTTATGGTTGTATTTCTCTCTTCTGCTGTTGAATAAGGTAGTGATGCTGGATAAAACACTTTCAAACAAGATTAGTTTTTTTTCACTATGCATTCTTGGATGTTCAATGATGATCTAAGACTCCCATGTTATACATTCAGAGGCACTCTCCGTTATGTAACCCTTCATGTTTTGTAAGGACCAATATCTTGCTAAATGTTTTACCACATGCATTACATATATAAGGTTTCTCTCTAGTGTAACTTTTATGATGTTGAATGAAACCAATGTTTTGGCTGAAGGATTTTCCACATTCACATTTATAGGGTTTATCTCTTTTGTGAATTTTCTCATGATAAATAATGCCTGTGTGTTGACTGAAGGCCTTTCCACATGTATTGCATTCATATGATTTTTCCCCATTATGAATTCTTTCATGTTTAATAAGTATTGATCTAATGCTGATGGATTTCCCACACTTACTACATTCATAAGGTTTCTCTCCATTATGTGTTCTTTGATGTACTATGAGAGATGCCTTTTGGGTGCAAGCTATTCCACATTCTTGACACTCATAGGGTTTCTCTCCAGTGTGAAGTCTCTGATGAGCAATAAGGGTAGACTTCTGATTGAAGGCTTTCCCACATTCATTACACTCATAGGATTTCTCTCCAGTATGAATTCTCTGATGTTGAATAAGACTTGAGGATACGCTAAAAGCCTTCCCACATTCATTACATTCATATTGCTTTTTTTTTTTTCCTGTCTTGCCTTTTCTGATTTTCAATAAGAGATGGTCTGTGCCTGAATGCTTTTCCACATTCATTACAGTCACAGGGTTTTTCCCCAGTATGGATCCTCTGATGTTGAATAAGTGATGCACTGGCACTGAATGCTTTCCCACATTCTCTGCATTCATAGGGCTTATCTCCAGTATGAATTCTCTGGTGTCGAATGAGGTAGGACCTCACACAGAAGGCTTTTCCACATTCTTTGCATTCATAAGATTTCTCTCCAATGTGAATTTTCTGATGCTGAATAAGATAAGAATTCAGACTGAAGGCTTTCCCACATTCACTGCATTCATATGTTTTCTCTCTTGTGTGAGTTCTCTGATGCTGAATAAAGATTGAGGATATACTGAGAGCTTTTCCACAGTTATTACATTGATAGGGTTTCATTCCTTTGTGAATTCACTGATATTTAATTAGATATGTGCTTTGGCTAAAAGCTTTCCACACTCGTTACATGCAAAGAATTTCTCTCCATTATGAATTCTCTGATGTTGAATGAGGGATACAGACCCACTACAGCCTTTTCCACATTCATTACACTGGTAAGCTTTGCCCGCAGTGTGAATTCTCTGATGTTGCATAAGATAGATTTTCGGACCAAAGGCTTTCCCACATTCACTACATTTATAAGGGTTTTCTGTGGTGTGAGGTCTCTGATGATCAATAATGTAAGATTTTCTAACAGTGTTTACCACATTCATTACATTTATAGGGTTTCTCTCCAGTGTGACTTCTCTAATGTTTAATAAAAGATGAACCTGTCTTGAAGGCTTTCCCACATTTATTACATTCATAGGATTTCTCTCCAGTGTGGACTCTCTTATGTATGATGAGGTGAGAGGTCTGATCAAAGGCTTTCCCACATTCATTACACTTGTAGGGTTTCTCACCAGTGTGAAATCATTGATGTCGAATGAGCTTTCCATTCTGACTGAAGGCTTTCCCACATTCATTACACTCATAAGGTTTCTCTCCAATGTGAATTCTACAATGAACTACAAGGTTAGGGTGACTATTAAAAGTTTTTGAACATTCATTATACTCATAGGGTTTCTCTTGAGGGTGAACTTAGTGGTGCTGAATTGGAGATGAGGGAAGGAATTTACTTGGTCTCTTCCTTATAAGGTTCCTCCAATTTTTATTTAGCCTTGCCTTAGGTACATAGACTTCTCCAAATGCGTAAGCATTCCCTTTGGATCTTCCTAGAATAACCCATTGTGATTCCATTTCTTCAGAAATTCTCTGCTTTGAGGACAACTCTTTATTTTTGCTCTTGGTCTCACAATCTGAAATGATGAACATAAAATATAAATGTTACCTGCTTTTTATTTTTCAGAGAAAGATAATTGCTAGGCAAGTCTTGGGTAGCACAAAAATAGGACTAGCCCAACAACTCACATTTATATAGTGATTAAATATCTTCTAGCATATGATGTTGATAGATCTCAATAATAGCCTTACAAGTTGGATTCTAAAGAAAATTTTAAAGAGAAGGAGAAGTATACAGCAAGTAACATGATCTCAGTGAAGAAGCAAGAAGGGTGACCAGGAAAAGACTGAATGGGGAATAGGTGAAATGAGCTTTTAGGGTATATGATAATCTAGGGGATAGAGATGGTATGCAGAAGGGCACCCCCATTGTATATATCCATGCCAGATACTTTTTTTTTTGATGAGGCAATCGGGAGGTTAAGTGACTTGCCCAGGGTCACACAGCTAGTAAGTGTCAAGTGTCTGAGGCCAGATTTGAACTCAGGTCCTCCTGAGTCCAAGGCTAGAGCTCTATCCACTGCATCAGCTAGCTGCCCCTCCAGATGCTTTTGAATTTTAGACCAGCTGCTGCTTACAGTTATGGGACCGTGAGGAAAACTGATGAGACACACGTACCTGTGGACACAGATGAGCAGGTTATGGAACAAATGATAGCATGCTAAGCTTAACTGAAAGCTCATTTGTTTGCCTCATTCTGTGTTTACCAGATCCTGGCCTTATCACCTTGTTAATGATTCTTGGTCCCCCATACTTGAAATGTTCTCCCCCTTCCAACTCCCCATTCTGCTTAAACTCTGCTTCTTAGAATTCCTGGCTTTTCTTATGACTCAGCTGAAGGATCATCTCCTCCAAAAGACACCCCCTTCTCCCTTCTAGCTGCTAATGCCTTCCACTTGAAGACTTCCTTTCATTTTGTCTGCATTTATCTTGTATGTATGGAGCATATGTTATCTCCCACATTAGAATGTGAGCTCTTTGAAGACGGGCTATTTTTGCTTTTCTTTGTGTCTTCAGAGTTAAGATATTGCCTGGAATATCTCTGGCAATCTTATACCTTAGACCTTGTGTATTTCCTGAACTTTGATATGAAATAGACCAATAAAATCCACCCACTGTGGCATCTTTTTCACTTTCCTTATCAACCCTCCCTCTCTCCCTCACATATTTCCCTTTCCCCTTCCTGTCAATTCTTTATATCCCACCAAATGAAATGGAAAGCATAGATTCCTACCTCTCACTCAGTATTGTAAGCCAAGGTGGCAGCCTTGTGATTATAGTCATCAAAGTATATAAAACAAAAACAAGTTCATAGCTCTCAGGCTAAGAACCCCTGTTCTAAAGAGTCTTGTTTGGTGACCTCATCAGCCTCCTGAGTTTAATTTCATCTTTATATAGATGATTCTTAGATCTATTTATTTAGCCTTTGTCTCTCTCCTAAGCTCTAATCTCCCATCATCAACTGCCTTTTAGCTATCTCAAATTAGATGTCATCTCAAACAACTCATGATTCAAAACAGAACTCATCTTTCTCTCTAAATCTTCTCTTCTTCCCAACTTTTTTTTATTATCGTTGAGGACCCTGCCATCTTTCAATTCAATCAGACTCACAATCTGAGTATCACCCTCAATTCACACTCGCCCTATTATGATGTTATCTTATAGTATCTACCTCTTATATATATCTTCTTATTCACAACATTCCCTTTACCCTTACTGCTTTTTTCCTCCCTTCTATCCCCCCTCCCTTTTCTTTCCCCTTTTCCCTCTTACTGCCTATAGGGCAAGTTAGATTTCTATACCTAACTGATTATGTTATTCCCTTCTTGAGCCAAATCTGATGAGAGTAAGGTTCAAACAATGCTCACCCCCCCCTTTCCCTCTGCTGTAATAGGATTTTGTGTCTTTTCCTGTAATTTACCCTTGTCTGCCTCCTCCTTTCTCAGTACATTTTCTAAGATCAGACTAATCCACTTACTTGGATCCATTTAACCCACTTGATTAGATTTTTTTTATCATTACATCAAAGTCAACTAATATCCACCCTTTTATGTATACTCCTTTAACATGGTGAAATAACAATACAGTTCTCAAGAGCTGCAAGTGTCATCTTCCCTTGTAGGGATGTAAACAATCCGCCCTTATTAACAACATATTGTATCTTTCTGTCCCATTTACCTTTTTATGTCTTTCTTGAATCTTGTACTTGAAGATCAAATTTTTTGTTGAGCTCTGGTCTTTTTATCAGGAAGGTTTGGAAGTCTCCTATTTCATTGAATATCCATCTCCTCCCTTGAAAAATCATGCTCATTTTTGCTGAGTAGTTGATCCTTGGCTGCAATCCAAGCTCCTTTGCCTTACAGAATATCATGTTCCATGCCCTTTGGTCTTTTAATGTAGAAGCTGCAAGGTCCTGTGTAATCCTGACTGTGGTTCCATGATATTTAAATTGTTTCTTTCTGGCTGCTTGCAGCACCTTCTCTTTCATCTGGTAATTTTGGAATTTTGCTATTATATTCCTTGGCGTCTTCAATTTGGGATCTCTTTCAGGTGGTGAGTGGTGTATTCTTTCTATGGTTATTTTACCTTCTGGTTCTAGGACTTCAGGGCAGTTTTCCTTTATGATTTCCTGAAAGATACTGTCCAGGCTCTTTTTTCATCATGATTTTCAGGTAGTCCAATAATTTTTAAATTGTCTCTCCTGAATCGATTTTCCAGGTCAGTTGTTTTACCAATGAGGTATTTTACGTTTTCATCTATTTTTTCATTTTTTGTTTCTGTTTGACTGATTCTTGCTCTCTCATAGAGTCATTAGTTTCCATTTGTCCAATTCTAGTTTTTAACAGATTGTTTTCTTCTGTTAGTTTTTGTACTTCCTTCTTCAATTGGCCAATTGTGTTTTTTAGGGACTTGTTTTCTTCAGTGTACTTTTTTTCCAATTGGCCAATTGTATTTTTTAAGGACTCTTCTACCTCTCTCATTTGACTTTTAAAATCCTTCTTGAGCTCTTCTAAGAAGGCTTTTTGGGCTTCAGACCAGTTCATATTTCCTTTTGACGTTGCAGATGTGGGTTTGTTGACAATGTTTTCCTCTTCAGAATTTTTGTCTTGATCTTCACTCTTCTCATAATATGAATCTATGGTACATTTCTTTTTACTCATGGTGTTTCTTTATTCCCTGGCCTTTAAAGAGATTGAGCTCTCCTGCTGGGGAACAGAGAGCACTGACCCAAGCTTCTTGTGTTGGGAGCCTAGGTCTTGGTCACTGGCTTTGTGTGCTGGGGCCTCTTATGTTGGCAATTAGAGGCTGTAGGGTTTGGCAGCTTACCTCGTGTTGGGCTGGAATCAGCAAGGCTGGAACTTTCAGGCAATTCTAGGTTGCCTGCTTTTCCTTTCCTTTAGCTTTCTTCAGCTCCTTTTAGATGAGTGGTGCAGGGTGTTTATCTGCCTGGGGCCCCTTGCAGTGCTGCCTCCTTTGTTTCTGTTAATGCACTGGGAGATTCCTTTGTGGTAGAGTGCTAAGGCACCTGGTGGTTTTCTGAGCTGGCCTCCACTGGTTCCCCTACCCTTACTGAGGCACTCAGAGGTCCAGGTGTTGGTGTTTGCCTGCTCTACCACCTGGGCTTCAGGATTTCTTCCTGGTTGCCAGTTGGAGGCTACAGGGCTCAGACACCTCACCTGGTATTGGGCTGGAACCAGCAAGGCCGGGGCTTTAGGAAGACTTTAGGTTGAGTCCTTCAGCTCCTTTCAGATGAACGCTGCAGGGTACTTATCCCGCTGGGGCCCCTTGTAGTTCTGCCTCCCTTATTTTTGCTGAGGCACTGGGAGACCCATTTGCTGGGCTGCTGCACTGCTGCTCCCCGTCTTTCTTCTAGTTCAGGTGTTCCAGGGTTTTTTTCTGGGGTGATATTTTCTGGGTTTTCAGAGGTTTATAGGGGAGAGTAAGAGTGACTACCATTTTACTCCACCATCTTGGTTCCTGGAAGCAGAAGCCTCATCATTTCTTATAGCATAGCAGTAAACTTGTTCATCCATTCCCTAACTGATGGACATCTCCTCAATTTCCAATTCTTTGTCACAACAAAAAGAGCTACTATAATTATTTTTTGTACATTGAGTCCTTTTCCCTTTTTCTTTAATTTCTTTGGAATACAGACCTAGTAGTAGTATTGCTGGATCAAAGGGTATGCATAGTTTTATAGCTCTTTAGGCATACTGAAGGTGTTAGTACTCCTGACAATAATAAGGAAGTTAGGAAGAGGGGAACATTTTGGGGAAAATATAATGAGTTAAGTTTTGGACCTGTTAAATTTAAGATATCTATGGGACGTCTAATTCAAGATGTCCAATAGGCAATCAGAGATGAGAGAACAGACATCAGGAAAGAAGTTAGGGCTGGATAAATAAATTTGGGAATCATCAATATAAAGATGATGATTGAATCCAGTGGATGAGATTAGAAAGTGAAAGATTAGAGAGAGAAGTGGGTCCAGGACAGAGCCTAGGGGGACATGCATAGTGAGAATGACCTGGATAAAGATTTAGCAATGGAGACTGTGAAGAAGCGGTCAGACAGGTAAGAGGAAGACCAGGAGACACAGGGTTGTGAAAACCTAGAGAGAAAAGAGAACCAAAGAGAATAAAGTGTTCAATAGTATCAAAGGCTGTAGGGAGGTCAAGAAGGATGAGATTTGAGAAAAAGTCATTATATTTGGTGATTAATGGATCATTGGTAACTTTGGAAAGAACAGTTTCAGTTGAATAATGAGGTCAGAAGTCAGACTGCTGAGTTCAGAAGAGAGTAAGAGAAAAGAAGTAGGGGCACTGATTATAGACAACCATCTCTGGGATTTTAGTCAGGAAAGGGAGGAAAGATAAGATGATAGCTAGTAGGGATGGATGGATTAGATGAGGAGATATATATATATATATATATATATATATATATATATATATATATATATATATATTTATTTATTTATTTATTTATTTATGGTGTAGTTTTTATGTAGTTGAGC